GGGGGCAGCGGGCGCAGCGGCAGCCACGACGGGCATGTCCTCCTACAGGCGGATTTTCGAAGAAATTCGCCGGCCCAACGGGCCAGGGCGTGCTAAGATCTCCGGTAACTGGTTAACAGTATTAACAGTATTTCTAGTTCGCGCGCGCGGGGCGGCCCCTGGGGGTCCCCCGGCGAAAAGTACCCCGACCAACGCCCGGTCGCCGCCCGGTCGCCGCCCGGTCGCCGCCCGACCGCCGCCCGACCAAGTCTACTCAGAGATGGTTTTCCTTCTGGGTGCGGCCTCTCAGGCTCCCCAGAGCGCGCTCAGAGTGCCCCAAGAGGCCCCCAAGACTGCCCAAGAGGCCCCCGAGACGCCCAAAGAGCGCTCGAAGACGCCGAAGATGACCCCAAGACGGCCCAAAAGGCCCCCAAGACAGCCCAAGAGGCCTCCAAGACGCCCCAAGAGCCTTCCAAGAGGCCTCCGAAGAGAGCCCCAAGAGGCCAAAATCGTTCATGGTGTTCTTTTTTCGGCTTCCGGACGCTCCAAGACGGCCCAAGAGGCCCCCAAGACCGCTCCAAGACGGCCCACGAAGCTCCCAAGACGGCGCCGAAACGACCCAAGAGAGCCCTCAAGACGGCCCAAGTGCCGCCCAAGACGGACCAAGAGGCCCCAAGACGGGCCCAAGAGGGACTCAGGAGGGATACCGAGAACTCAAAAATGGAGCCCTCCGTCCCAGAAGGCGCCCAGGAGGTCCCAAAGAGGCCCCAAGAGGCCTCCAAGAGGCCCCAAGATGTCGCCAAGAGGCCCCAGGAGACTCCCAGGAAGCCCAAAAGAAGCCCCAGAAGGCTTCAAACATGTCTCCCAGGCGCCCCCGAACGGCCTCTCAACAGACCCCAAGAGGCCCCCCAAAGAAGCATCTTGACGACGACTCTATTTCGCCCCATCGAGAGACGACCCCCAGGGAACTGCTTCACCATCAAAACTCCCCACGCAACGCGTCCGAACGACACCCGCCCCCAAGAGCGCAACATGGGCAACGAACACACAGACAAAAACCAGCGATGCCATATCACGGGCCGGCGGAATGAGCGAAGCGATTCAATATAAAAAATTGTCAAGCCCCCCAACAAAAACCAGAAGTAGTCGAAACATCGTCCCCAGACCATGTTTTCCTATCCTTGCATATCCCTCCTGTGTAGAGGGACATGCCCAACTTAAACGCACATCCTTGCGTCGTAAAGCAAAGTCTCGCCGCCGCCCTCGCCCTCGTCCTCGTCCTCGTCGTCGTCCTTCAGGGTCGGCGGCACAGCACGGACCGCAAGGCCTTCGCGATCACGACGGGCAGCTCCCAGGGATGCCATGCCTCCGGGGCCCTTGGCCGGGCTCCCGGGTCGGCTACACTCAAGAGTGACCCTGGGTAAGAGTGACCTTTGGTGCGCGGCTTTTTGGGGGCCGCGGGGGGCCACACCTGGGCGCGCAAGCAGCTGCTGCTGCTTCGTTTTCGGCCATCTGGGGGCTCATCTGTGCCCGCACCACAGGTCACTCCGCCGAACGGCCACTCTTACGTCCAGTCGACCGGGGCCGTCCACAAGAGCGGCTCGGGGTGAAAAGCCGGCCCCCGGGGAGGAGTCCAGACCTTTGGGGAGCCACGCTGCGGCACAACTCAAGACGCCGGGTGTCTCGGTGTGCGGCGGGGGAGGAGCGCGCGAGGGAGCGAGCGCCCCTGGGGTGTGGTCATCTCCGGGGCGCGGCGCGCCCTGGAGGAGATAAGAGCACCCGTCGCGCCTGGGTGCTTCGTGGTGTCCCCTGGCCCTGGGCGTCGTGACTTTACTGTGCTCACTCTCTCTGCTGACCCGTTTAACTGGCACGAGACCACAACCATTGGGGATAAAGAAAAGCGGCATCGTCCCAACAGACACCCACCACCATCTCGCCCACGAGCTCAACCACGACAAACACAGAGGTATCCCAGGGGCGGTGTGCTGCCCCAGTGAAGGGGAGCATCCCACCATGCGTCGTAATCCAGCCACAGGAAAGACGTGAGACTCCGCGGCCAACCGCCGGAACATCACAAAGCGCACTGGGCATGCATTGTCAAGGAAGACCAGCACATGACGTGGGCGTCTGGAAGCCTGGACCTCTTCCCCCGGGATTCCTCTTCCGTCCCGGTTCGTTTCTCGGCGGCTCCGAGGCCTGGCGAGGGTCACTGGAGGCCGAACGGAACAAAAAGAACGTCCGTCGGGTTCGTCACGGCGCGAAGGGTCTGGGCTTAGGTCGGGCGTGTCCCCCTGCAGGGGGATTTTTGGACGAAGAACACAAACAATAGCCAACAAATGCTAAACAAGTACCCAAAGTACTAAAAACCTAGTCCCCAGACTCTTCTTTGACCACTTTTGAATATTCCTCCTGTAGAGGGACAGGCCCGATTTCAAATCTGGGCCTGTCGGTTCGCGCACCCCTGGGTGGCGCGGAAGACCCACGAGCTTTCCCCACCGACGAGCGCCGGCGGAGGACATCGAAGGGGTGCCAGCTCGGGCGCTCTGGAGCACAGAAGCTCGAGCCGTGGGGGCACGCTGGCGCCCCCAGACGCAGGCACCCTCGCGTCGCGACGCAGTCTCGGCGGATGGTGTCCTGCAAAACTCGTTTTTCCTGGGGCCTCCGGAGGCCCTCGCCGGGACCGTCAAAAGGACGACTGGGGCTGAAAACCGGCTCTGGGGGGAGGGTCGGGACTCCTGGGGGCCCCGCATTGAAGAAACCACGCCACCGCGTGTCTGGGGAGTCACGCCGGCGCCGCCAAGCGGCCGCCTCGGCTGGCCGAGGGGCCGCAAGAGAAGGCCTCGGCCTCCTCCTGGTGGGAGAGGGGACGGGGATCCCTATCGATGGAGCTGCGAGGGGGGGGGGGAGGGAGGAGGGAGGGAGGGAGGAGGGAGGAGGGAGGAGGGAGGAGGGAGGAGGAGGAGGAGGAGGGAGGAGGAGGAGGAGGAGGAGGAGGAGGAGGAGGAGGAGGAGGAGGAGGGGGAGCGCAGCCCTAGCGATGGAGCTGCGAGGGGTGCGAGGCCAACGGCGGCCCTCGCGCGTGCGGCCTGTGGCGGTCCCCTCGGGGCGGCGGGCAGGCACGGAGCCCAGGGCTCCCGAGGGCAGCCGGGAGGGGCGGGGCAGGGAAAGGGTACGCTCAGCTCTGGAGGGCCAACTGGCCGAGGCCTCCTGGGTGGGGTCGGAGCAGATGTGGTCGGAAGATCGCGCTGCGTCGCCGATACATCGGCGATGCATCGGCGATGCATCGGCGATGCGTCGGCGATGCGTCGGCGATGCAACGGCGACGCCGGCGTGTATAGAATCGGGCTCCACACTCCACACCGCGCCGCTCGGCAACGCGTCGCGATCCTCCGACCCCATGTGCTGGACCCCATCTAGGAGGTCTAGACTGACAGAATTGGTCTGGTCGGGCGGCTCGGAGATGTGTCGGACTTGTGGACTGAAGGAGGCACGCGTCAAGAGCGGATCTGCCCCAAACCTGGACGGTCAGAGGAGGAGTTGGACTCCGAGAGCCTTCACGGGGTCGCAATCTTAGCGAAGCCCAGGCTCTTGGGCCCACCCATCCCGGGCAAGAGAGGCTTCTCCCTTGGACGCGTGAGGAGACGAGCAGGGGGAGCTCAATCTGGGCAGCGCTTCCCCCACTCCCCCGCACGCGACGGCAGGAGTGGAAGGGGAGTGACGGAGGTGCCCGGGACGGGAAGGGGAGGGGAGGACGGAGGGGCCAGGGAGGGGGAGATGGGGGTGGAGATGGGATGGGGGGTGGCAATACCCTGCAGATGCCTGTGGCACCTCAACCCTGGAGGAGGCAGTCTCGGCCAGTAGTCGCCCCTCCTCATGCGCAGAACATCTGTTGGCTGGCTGTGCTTCTCGGGGCCACCCCAGGGAGCAGAGCGACCACACCGCAGGAACACTGCGCGAGAGAACTGTGGCAAGCTCAGCGGCTGCCGTGGGGGCGGGCTGGGTTCCACCCCAGATGCTTTCTTGCCACGTGCACGTTCGACCAGACGCCCCGCCCGCCCCACCAAGGGGGGCGGCAGAACCCGCGGGGGGGGGGACTGGGGACGGGCGCAGCTCGCACCGTTGTTCTCGAGAGAGGTGCGCGAATCCGCGACCCACGCCTGCGGTGCGTGGAGTGGGTGGGAGTCAGACGGCCCTGGCCGGAGGCGATCTGGCTTGACAGTGTCGCGATAAGCGGGGGACGGGGTGGAATGGAAGGGAAGGGAAGGGAACTCTGACGTGGCCGTAAGCAGTCACGCTTTTTGAGGTCCGCACGAATCTCTTGGATCGGCGCTGGAGACCCCCCTTCCCCAGCCACGAGGGTGTACGAGGGGGGTCCAGCGCCGACGGGTGAGAGCCGCGCGGGGCTCCGAAAGCCTACGCGCTCGGCCGTGCGGCAGCGGGGCAGGGCGGCCCAGGCGTGCCAGGCAGTCGAGCAGGGACGGCGGGGCAGCGGGGCACGGGAGCGACAGCACGGGCCTCCTCCGCCTCCCCAGCGCCAATGCCCCATCCTCCCTCCCCTACCCCTCCTCCTCATCCACCCCCCCCTCCCTCCTCCTCAGCCTCCTCCCTCCTGCTTCCTGCTCTTCCTCCTCCCACCTCCTTCCCATCCTCCTCCCACCTCCCACCTCCCCATCCTCCCCCTTCCTTCCTCTGCGCTGCCCCTGGAGGGCCTCGCCCCTCAAAGCCCGCAGGTCGCAGATCGTGTTGCACACCACCGTGGCGTTGCGCGTGCTCGCGTAGCCTTGGGGGGAGGAGGGAGGAGAGGAGGGAGGAGAGGAGGAGGGAGGAGAGGAAGAAGAGAAGGGAGGGAGGAGTGGGGAGGAGGGAGGAGAGGAGGAGGGAGGGCGGAGGAGGGAGGAGGGAGGGCGGGAAGGCAGGAAAAAGGGTTTGTGTGCGCGCGCGTTTGTCCACCATGCACTGTGTTGTGTGCGCCCTCCAGACTGTAACAGGGCTAACAGCTCAGTGCGGCTAACAGACTACAACACAAGGTGATAAAATGACTTAGTGGGCATCCCGCCGTTGCTTACGTTATCCGCTGGCTACCGTCATCAATGCGTCAGAGGAAAAAACGTGCGTGTATGAGTGAGTGAGTGAGTGAGTGAGTGAGTGAGTGCGCGTGTGTGTGTGTGTGCGTGTGTGCGCGTGTGCGTGTGTGTGTGTGTGTGTGTGTGTGTTTGTGTGTGTGCGTGTGTTTGTGTGTGTGTGTGTGCGTGTGTGCGTGTGTGTATGTGTTTTTGTGCGTGGTTGCGTGTGTGCGTGTGTGCGTGCGTGAATGTGTGCGTGAATGTGTGCGTGAATGTGTGCGTGTGTGTGAATGTGTGCGTGTGTGCGTGTGTGCGTGTGTGCGTGTGTGCGTGTGTGCATGTGTGCGTGTGTGCGTGTGTGCGTGCATGCGCGCGTGTGTGTGTGTGTGTGTGTGTGTGTGGGTGGGTGTGCGTGTGTTTGTGTGTTTGTGTATATGTGTGTGCGCTCGAGCTGCTTCCCGCCCCGGCTGCGTGCGACCGGAACGAATGTGAGTATGTGTGTGCGGCTGCTGTGCTCGCGACGGTGCCGCCACCTCACCGCTGCGGGAAACAATGTGTGTATGCGTGTGTGTGTGTATGCATGTGTGTGTGTGTCTGCATGTGTGTGAATGCGTGTGTGTGTGTGTGTTTGTGCGTGTGCGTATGTGTGTGTATGTGGGGGGGGGGGGCGCGCTTGTCCTGTTTCTGGTTTCCTGCCTGCTGGCCTTACCCTGCCCCCAGCCTGGGATCACAAGGATCGGGCTTGAGCGCAGTCGGTGCAAATCGCGCATCCCTTCGATTGCGTGCCAGACGGTGTTTCGTCTCTGCGCTGGCATGCTCGGACTCTCCCTTCGCTGGTTCACGGGTCCTTTCCCGCACGGTGCACGCCCTGCTTTCCTCATTGTGCTCGTCCAGCGCAGCCGCCACCACCTGTTCCTGCACGTGACCCGCCTTGCGTAGTCCTCCCATCTGCAACGTCAAGTACGCGGAATTGACGCTGCGCGTGCCCCGCCTTGGCCCTCGCTGCAGTGGCGTCACTCGGTCGCTGGATTGAGGGAGTGTGTTCGTCCCTCTGTCGGCTGCCCCCCCGTGGAGATGCCCACGCCGCGTGGTTCCCGACGGGTGAGCCCTGCGGGCTCCGCCCTCCGCCTGCCTGGCTGCGCCGCATCGCCACGTCGCTGCGCGCACGCGCGGCTGCGACGCCCACTACAAGTGTGCATGCGTGTGTGTGTGTGTGTGATTGTGTGGGTGTTGTGCGTGTTTGCGTGTGTGTGTGTGTGCGCGCGAGTGCGTGCGTGCGTGCGTGCGTGCGTGCGTGCGTGTGTGTGTGTGTGTGTGTTTGTGTGTGTGCGTGTGTGCGCGCGAGTGCGTGCGCGTGTGGGTATGTGTTTGTGTGTGTGCGTGTGCGTGTGCGTGTGCGTGTGCGTGTGTGAATGAGGGAGAGTCATCCACGCCCGCATGGCTTCTGGCGGCGGCTGCTGCGCGACCCTATGCGGTCCCTGAGAGTTCGGGCGCTCCCAGACGCGCGCGCGGACGGTTGCTGCCCCACGCCGTTCTCCACCCTGTCGCTGCGCGCAGGGCCGCGACGCCAAAAAGTGTGTGTGTGTGTGTGTGTGTGTGAATGTGCGTGTGTGTGTGTGTGTGTGTGAATGTGTGTGTGTGTGTGTATGTGTGGGGGTATACGTCTTTTGGTCGCTCGGCCTGGTCTCCCTTCTGGGCCGTGGGCCGACCTGCACGCGCCCGCCGCCGCCCGGACCCCGCCGCTGCCCCGCTGCGGGAGGGGCTGGCCGGACTTGCGCGGTCGCGTCCTGCGCTCGGCGCGTTCTGCAGGCTCGGCAGCTCTGGGACACGGATTCCCTGACTTTTGGACGCCCGTGTGCACAGCAGGAA